GCCCATTCCTGACACTGTTTAAGGCCAGGTTGGATGAAGCTTTTAGCAACCTGATCTAGTGGAAAGTGTCCCTGCCCATGGCAGGGGGTTCGGAACTAGATGATCTTTAAGGTCCCTTCCAGCCCAAACCATTCTATGATGTTATTAAATATGCTTGAGCATGAGAAGGTAATGAGTGAGACAAAAGGGAGTGGTTGGTAACAAAGAGGGAGGGTTAGGGGCGGGGAATAGTTATTACATGAAATTTAATCTCATATGAAAAAACTGGTTGAGCAACCAGCCTTAATAGCTTCAACAGACTGTTCTCAATAAAGACAAGCTGGTAAAAGCAGCCGTTAAAATGTTGACAATAAGTCAGGTTCTTATAGCTTTGGTTATATTTCTTCTAATTATGCAGTTTTTTAAGTTGCAACGAGTACGGAGACAGCTTCCTCCTGGACCAATTCCTCTCCCAGTTTTTGGGACCTTGATACAAATGAACTTTCAGTTTAATCGTGATCTCCTCATGAAGGTATTTATTTTCGGATACTCCTAATTGTTTAAAAGTCTTTGTAATTTCCCATTTCTTGTGGTGTTTGCTATGTGAAAACATCCTCTCCCAAAACCACATTGGTAACACACTGTAATTGTTAACTGGCCACTGTGATATTGCACTCGATTTGGTTTGGAACTGATGGTTTGGTTGGCAAAATAAGAAAAAATTATTGCAGCATAAAGTAGTTTGCCAAGCTAGGAAAATTGGTATTGGAAGTTCTGAATGTGTGAAAATCTTTCTGATGCTTAAGCCCATCACCTTCTAACATAGAATTTGACAAATTCATGTGAAACTTGATATCCTTCCATCACTCCTGAACACTAAATTTGACAAATTCATATGAAAACAAATATCCTTTTAAGATTAAATACCTTTAGGCATAATACATCAGATTTGCAGTTAGGGAAAAGAAATACTATTTTAGAAAAATTACTTTTCCAGTGTGGATTTTTAGCTTTCCAAGCACTGGCACTCTATTACATTGAGCAGTAAATAGATTGTTAAGATGCCCTATGTGTGTATATGGTTGTGTTGACAGGACCTAAAAAAAAACCACGAACCTTTTGTTAGTTGTTTTTTGAGGAGTACTTCTGCGCGCAAAGCCACCTCTACTTCATTCTGCTGGTTCTCACAGTGCTTTCAGGATTCTCAATGGACAACTCCAGTGGCTTCTGTCACTGTGATTTGGATGAGACATGCCAGTTATTCCAACCAAACGGCAGGTTTGGTTCAGACAAGAAGTAAGGACGCTGTGAGACAGAATGGTCTTACTCAAGTTCCGGTACCTAAATATGCAAATAGGTGGGGGAAAGAAGAAAGAAACTCGTCCAGTCTCTGAAAGCTAGTTATTCCTCTTGACACTTCTGTGTTCCCTTTGTGCCGCTTTCCCAGTACAAATGATAGAAACCCTCTTGAAATAAATTCATGCATGGAAAGTACCCTTTGTCACAGGAATCATTGTGAACTGAGCCTTGGTTTATATACAGTAACAAAAGCTACCTAATATTTCTTGACATAGATCTGTGGTTCTCAAAAGCTGGAATACTCAGTTGTTTCCAACTGTGAATGCTGGAAAAGACATTCATGTTCTCTCATAGATAATTGTAATCTTGTGGGAAAGATGGAGAACATCATTCCATCTTAGGGCTGGTCCTGTAATCAGTGTAAAAACAGGTTCATCCTCCGTTTGTTTGCAGTGTGTGTGATTTCATCTGTGCTTTCCTGGCTTCTTTTCATCTATAGCTGGCAAAAATTCATGGCAACATATTCACCTTATGGTTTGGATGGGCCCCAGTAGTCATACTGAATGGATTTCAAGCAGTTAAAGACGGTATGACCATGCACCCTGAAGATGTCTCTGGGCGGTTGGTGTCTCCTTTCTTCAGAGCAATGGCCAAAGGAAAAGGTGAGACTTTCTATCCATAAATATTCCACAGAAACATTGCCTTGACAAATTGCAGCTCTTTTGTGGCTTGTAACTACTTCCAAAGGTACCACAGTAGTAGAGTTTGTCTATGAGGAACGACTGCCAGGTGAACTGCAAAGCTGGGAGGGATGAAACAGCCTTTGGATAGTAGGAGGAGGAAAAGAGGAGCAAAAGAAAAAAGATGTGTGAAATGCTTTGTGTGAAATATTCACTGGAGCAGATTCAGAGGTGATGAGATGAGGCAGTGGCAGGTTGTGCCAGAGTGGAGGAAGTGCAGGAAACAGCACGCTTCCTTGTCCTGGACTTGCTGCCTCCCACCATTATGTTTTAAATTGAAGAGTCAGCTTGGTGGTGGCATCTTCTTCCCATCCCCTTCCTTTTGTCAACATTTTCTTACTCTCACAGTTGCATCTAGAGGTTCAGTGTGCTTCTGTTTCAACCTTGCTGCAGGTTTCATACTCCCCAATCATACTGGAAACTCCCAAACTCCTGATTTTCATGAACACATGCATTATGAAACAACTTTTATTTTATTTGAGGCCATGGCTTTTACTAAGGAAACCTAATTCCTTAAGTATTTCTAACTTGAATTTGTTTCAGTCTTTGGTGATTCTTATACCACATTAAAGATCCTTGTAGTGTATGATGTTTATTTCTTCTGAAGATATTTGTCACAAAGCCCAAGTACTGAACTTTTCTCCCTAACTGTGGACAGGAACTTTTCTCCCTAACTGTGGGCAGTCAGCACTCCTTCCTCTTTTCCTTTCATGAGAATCATTACCCTGGTCAGGTGAGCTCCAAACAGAGAAGAAAGTGGGAGGAAAGCGCTTCAGAGAATGTCTAGAGAAGCAACTGTCAAACTTTGAGATACCTAGTTGTCTTGGATCAAGCTTAATCCTGCAAGTCGTCTTATTACCAAGTTGAGTTTGTCCATTTTAGCCCAGCCCATATGCCTGCATGCCACAGCTCTTCCTTTGTGTCTTCATGTTCATAGGCAATGCAATAGTTTCACTATGTTCTGTTGTTTAGTACATCTTTTAATGTATTCTTTGTCTCTAATAAATATTAGCATGATAAAGACCTCTTCCTTGAATGGATGCAGGGATTATGTTGGCAACTGGTCACACCTGGAAGCAGCAGAGAAGGTTTGCACTGAGGACTCTACGCAGCCTTGGTCTGGGGAAAAGAGGTCTGGAGCATCGAGTTCAAGAAGAGGCCCAGTACCTGGTAGACTTCTTTGCAAGTATGAAAGGTATCTCTGCAATAAATATTGGTTCATTTTTGTCATTAGTCTGATGTTGTTAGTGTATGAACTCTGTCCTGCTCTGAAATCAAGGGCAGCTTTTGTTCCACAAGAGAGTGTGCAGAGTCTTACAGTGTCTATGTGAAATGGACTGAAAATGCAAAGACCCCAGTCCTGTATTTTCAAACCCAGTGAGAGACTATTCTTGTCCAAAGTTTTTTACAAAAATTGACAAGCAAAACTAGAGCTTATTTATTATTTATGTCATAGATCACTTTAAGTGGAAAGAGATCTCTGAAGATGGTCTAGTCTAACCCCTTCTCAAAGAAGGGTCAATCTGAGCAGGCTTCTTAGGGCTGAGTCCAGCTGGGTTTTAAATATCTGCAAGAATGGAGACTTCACCACCTTTCTGGGTAACCTGTCCCAGTGTTCAATCAGGCCTACAGTAAAAAAGTTTCTTATGTTTAGGCAGAATTTAATGTATTTCAATTTTTGCCCATTGCCTCACTTGATACCACTCAGAAAAGTCTAACTCCATGTTCTTTATTCCCCTCCGTCAGAGATTTGTACACATTTAAGAAACTTCCCTGAGCCTTCTCTTCTCTAGACTAAACAGTCCCAGCTCTCTTTTAGGTCACATGCTCCAATCCCTTAATTGTCCTTGTGGCCCTTTGCTCGACTTGTTCTAGTATGTTGATGTCTCTTTTGTACTGGGGAGCCCAGAACTGGACCCAGCACTCCAGGTGGGTCTCACCAGTGCTGGTCAGAGGGGAAGGATCACCTCCCTTGAGCTACTGGCCATGCCTTTCCTAATGCAGCCCAGGATGCCTCAAGGGCACATTGCTGGCTCATATATGGTACCGCTGCATAAAGATATGGACACGTTGTCAGTGCTGATGAATTAAGCCTTGTAAGGCTGTTTGCATGCACTCCGTAAAGCAGTGACTAGAACCTCGTCTTCATTACAACATTTCGTCCTGATCGACCCAGTTAGGAGCATGTGAGTTGGATTTCCCAATCCTGATCGTTATGCAAAGGCACTGTAAATCAGGACATGCTGCGGCTAGCATTATATCAACTAAAAGTAATTAAATCTATCCCAATCCTACGGTTGAAGAACTAGGAGAGATTGAGATATGGCCACCTGCGCAGGAAAGAAAAGCCCAGAACAATAAGTTGCTAATCAGAATTGTGCATTGGGTGTTGGACAGTTGCACCAGTACATACATAAAGACAGTTGTTTATAGTCATTTAATCTGGAGTCACAAAATAGGTTTTTAGAGATTAGTTTTTCAAGAAATTGCTTTAAAATTAGTTGTTATTTTGTTGATGTAATTAATTGAAAGATTACGGCATTTTTATCTTACTGGAGGTTGTACATCTCTAGCAAGGTCAGACAAAACAGAATAGCCTTGCACGCGTTTATGTTCTTGCTGAAGAAGGCTGCTTCTCTTCTCACAGTTTTCCCCTCAGATTTCTTTTGACCACAGTGTTTTCAGTCATTCCCATGCTTGAGTCCTATGTTGAATTTGCCAGAGAGGAATTCTTTTTCTTACCTCTAAATTGGGTCGATCATATTATGAAATATTTTACACATTTGGCATTCCTCTAGGGTGCCATGCGTTCCTGGGATTATGGGATTGCGCCATAGTTGTGAAGAATCAATTTGATACTCCAGCTTTGTAAGAAGATTGCTGCATCTCTCTGAAACGCAATGTTCTCTTGAAAGTTCTTTGAGTAACCTATAATATTCTCTCGTTTTCCTAAAGCAGAACAGGAGACATTAACAGTGACATTTATTATTATGGTTGCAGGGAAACCCCTGGATCCTTCTTTCCCTCTTGTTCATTCTGTCTCAAATGTCATTTGTGCTGTTGTTTACGGACATCGCTTCTCCAGGGAGGATGAAACCTTCCATGAACTGATTAGAGCCACAGAGCATCTATTCAAATTTGGAGGCAGCTTTGTTCATCGTGTAAGTAAACAATTTGTTGTCTTTTTTTTTTCTGAATAAAACATAAAGAAAGAAATGCAGATTCAAGAGGTAGCTGTTAGGTGGAAGTTTTCAAATGGGTGAGTGATGTCCCATGCAGCTTTACTGGGCAGTGCACCATCTCAAAGCGTGGTGGTATTGCTCTGCATCACAGCCTTGGTCACTTGTGTTCATTTTCCTGTGTTTGAGTACTATGATAAGGCAGTTTGCTCCTAAATCTTTGAAGCAAGGCACAAACTGATGGACTGCTCCTGGGCGGCGTTTGTTATTTGGTTTCTCAACCCTCATGCACAAGAGATTCCTGCCTTGGACATCATGATTCTGTAATTCTGTGATGGTTAAATACTGAATGTCAGGTCTAGAAGTGTGGTTCACATGCCGAGTTCAGACACTGTTTTACACACAGTTAACAGAGAGAAGAACGATTCAAATACCTAAGGGTTTTGCCTGTGGCTACTTATCTCTATTCCCTCTATAAGAAGTGGAAACTTGAAGACTTCCTAGAGAAATTCCACTCCTTCCCCCTGAGCAAGGAGCAGTTCTAGGCACAGGCAGCAGAAGACATGCTAAGCCAGCAAATACACCTGTAAGACTGACAATCAAAACAATCAGCACTCTTCTGAGATTCAAGGACTTATCTGACACTAGAAGAGGCCTGCTTTGCACAGAAGTGTCATCCAAGTTGCCCGGGGGTTCTGGTTCCACTTCTAAAGTTGTCCCAAACATCTTGTGCAGTAGCTTCTTAATGTAAAACACATAAGCAATCCCTGTAGTACAGATTTCCACCCCTCAATCCCATGGAACATTCTTCTCACCGAGTTAGGCTCAGGTTTCCTTTCGCTTGGTCTAGCTTTGATCCTGTAAATTGTGTGTAGTGGCAGGCGAGGCCTGCTTTTGGGATAGAAAATATACCTCCTTCTCTTCTCTCCTTCCTATCCTAGCTTTGCTTTAGTCCCATGGATGAGATGCTGGTCTGGGAAATAAGAACAGGGGTTCAAACCATTTCAGAGGGAGCGCTGCAATCTTCCCACTTCCGGGATGCAAAGGGAGCTCAGTATTATGTAAAAAATGGATATTGCTGCATCCACATCCCTATCTCTTAACTGGATTCCGTGCTGTCAGGCACTGAAGGGGAGAACCCTGTGGATTGAGCCCCTCCAGAAATGGAGGAGGAGTTTTGACAGGACTGGGAGCTAGGGAGGTGGATGGGCTCAGTTCCTGTCTTGAATGTTGACAGCTACATTCCACTTACAGTTAGAGTGCCATAGTAGCCAGAAAGTGCATGCA